TTACCCATCCTCTGGCAAGACTGAATGACTATGGGCTGCTGATGACAAGGCACAATGCACAACTTACAGGGACGTATGCATCAGCCCTACATACAGATTACATGGATCTACATACGAATTACACAGATGGCTGGGCACGGTGGCTCCCGCCTGTGACCCCAGCACTACTGACAGAGGTGTGTGCGTCAGCCCTACATACAAATTACACGGATGGCCAGGCACGGTGGCTCATGCCTGTGACCCCAGCACTTTGGGAGGCCAAGCCAGGTGGATTGCTTGAGGCCAGGATTTTGAGACCAGCCTGGGCAACATGGCAAAACCCGCATCTCTACAAAAAGGCCGGTGACCAACGCCGGCATGCCTATCTACGGCTAAAAGAATAACAAAAAAAAAAAAATAAACGTACGCGCGACCCGCACGCCCGGGCCGGTGAGCGGGCGCCGGTTCAGTTGCCCAGCCTACTCGGGCAGAGGCTCTCGAGCGGGCAGGCGGAGAATCGGCTCGGACACGGGCAGGCCCGCCGGACGCCGCCCGGGCGACGCAGAGCTTCTTCAGTGAGCTGAGATCACCGCCACTCCGCGGCCCCCCGGGGCGCAGCCTCGGGTTGACCAGGCAGACCTCCCATCCGTCGCTCAACAAAAACCAGAAAAAAAAAAGGCTGGGCCGCAGGTGGCTAAGCCCTGTACACTGCCCGACGCACTTTGGCGAGGCCGAGACGGCGGATCACGAGGCGCCTCCCAGGGCAGATCGAGAACCCCGCATCCTGACCTAACCACCGGCTGAACAACCCGTCGCCGTCCTAGGCTGCTAAACCAAAGGTAGAATACGCGGGCCCGCGCGGGGCCCGCCGGGCCCCCGGGCCGCCGCGGCGCCCGCGCACCCCGCCGCGGCAGCCGGCCGCACCCCCCCCCTAGCCGGGCCGTGAATGGCCGGGCGCCTGTAGTGCCGCAGCTACTTGGCGAGGCTGCCAACGGCAGCCAGGCATGGTCGCGTGAACGCCAAGGAGGACGGAGCTGCAGTGAGACTGAGATTGCGCACCACTGCCCTCTGAGCAGCCTTGGGCGGACAGATGCAGACTTCCATCCAAAAAAAAAAAAAGGAGAAAAGAAAAAAGAGAAATGTGAAGACACCTCAGGGCCTGTGGTGATTGCTGCTCTTTCAGCAGGTAGCTTGAAGGAAGAAGGCAGCGATGTTCCCTTACTTTCTGGCAATATTTTTTGGGAATAAGTAGCAAGCATTCATTGTTTTCTTCCTCTCTATGGAGTATAAGAAACTATTAACAACAAATTCCTGGTATCGTTAATTCAGCATGACCTCTCGCCTCCGCTGCGAAATTGGATTCTGCAATAGCTTAACACCTATGAACCTATAAATATTTTTCTCACTTGTTAAAAGCATCTGTTTCTGCGGAAGCGCAGTGCGACTGTACATAGCACCCACTCGTACGGTAGTGAAAAGAATAAAGAGGCGCGCCGCAAGTGACTCCGCCGGCCGGGGAAAGTACGCAGAGTTTGACTCAGTAGGGTACGCTCTTCTTTTCATCTTAGAGCGGCTCGATTTATATCCCTTGATGACAAGAGTGAGGGTAACCACAAGATGTTTCTCCCTCATATTTCTTGATCAAGATACATTTGTGTCTCCCATAATGTGCTACATTTTGCACGGAAACATCATTACCTGTCTTCGTCGCCGCATCTCAACCGCTCGCGGCCGTGACGCCTCCGTCTCGTTCCGTCCTCTGAAAAAGCCACTCGCCCCCAGGGCATGCCTACCAGGCTGTTTGTCAATTATGCGAAACGTATAGCCTAGCTTTAATCTTACGCGGAAAGCACTGAGGGCCAGCTTACACGTAGGTCGGGGTGAGAA